CAATATTTACATACCGCACGAATTTCTATCTCACCTGTTTTTGGATTTGGTCGGGGCTCCTCGGTGAAATGCTCCCATGCTGGAGAAGTTCATGGTCTTTTTCCTCTGCTGCGTTCTCCAGCTTCTTCGTTGTATACTGAAGCATTATCCACCGGAGCATTTTCTGGTTCAGTGGGGGTGGGGTTGGAAGGCATCATTTCTTCCTCAAAAAATATCTCCTCACGAAGCTCAGGAAGAGCAGTGAAATTAGGGAAATTTGGTGAGGCCATTTTCTGGAAATTGATAGAACTTGATTGAACTTTGTAAATGAAAGAGCTAGAAAATGAATGAACACGAGAAAAAAGCTTAGAATCAAAATCAAAGAGAGAAGTTGAGAGATAGAATGAGAGTGAGATGAGAAGATGAGAGTGAATTGTTGTGTGGGATTTATGGTGGAATTAAGGGGTATTTATAGGGGATTTTTGGGTGAAAATTTGGTTTTTTTCCGTTGGGCCCGCGAAGGGCCCACTGGACCAAATGAAATGGGCTTTTCATGGGCCGTTTTCGCGGGCTTGGGCCGGGCCGAATAAGGGCCGAATAAGGGCTTGGGCCGGGCCGAATAAGGGCTAGGCCGCGGGCCTCCACGTGCTTGGGCCGCGGGCTGAGAAGTTGAGGCCCAGCCCTAGTCCATTACACGTGCCGTTCCGGCCCGGTCCGTAACAGTAACGAACCGGGCCGTACCGAATCATGCACTATTACGGGCTGGGCCGGGCCATCCATGGACGGCCCGTCCCATTTGACACCTCTAGGTGGGTTTTCCAATGGAGGAGCGGCGGTTTGGGTGAAATCGCGACGAAGGGAGAGAAAAAGAGAGACAGAGCGGCGTGAGTTCATGTTCAAGAAGTCTGAGGAGTTGTTTAGTTGGGAGATTCATATCCAATTTAAATTATGATTCGTGATTCGTTATAGTATTTTTTCTTATAAAAAATATACATAAATTAAAAATAATTCTAATCTCATAATTGTAATCCATAAACTAAACGTCTCATGAGTTAAAGAGTTTGATATTTAAAATTTAGAAAATCACCCTATATTAGATGACAATTTTCAGGAAAACTGTCGTCTAAATTATAATACTTAATGACAGTTTTTCAAAACACTATCGTCTAGTCCTTTACGTCAGTTGTACAAATTTTGTCAGGAGGATTAACGATTGTTTTTATAAAAAAAACGTCGTTAAATATAAGACGCTAAATGTCCCTTTTTTGTAGTGTAAGTAGCGCAATACAATGGTATGGTCTACCAAATATTGTCTAGGTTATTAACATCTTTAATATTATTGCAATGGGACAAATGACAATACAATACAATGTTGAACAATATGATATACCTTATACAAGAGAATACTACACAACTAAACAAACAAGCCTTTACGTGGAAACGATGTCTTGGGGTAATAGTACTAGACAGGTTGGAGAGTATTAATCACTAGGATTGACAAAATTTATTAAAAGCCCCATGTACGTTATAGATTCCTGATATCCACGTAAATGCATGAATGATGACGTGTCCTTTTACTATAAGTAGAAACACCTTCTTCATATATATATATATAGCTCTGTAAATAAAAGGCTTTGATTTTTTCCTTCTTTTCTTTGGTATAAAAGGGTACAAAAAAGCTTTGAATTGAAAAAAAATGGATAGTATGCAACACAGGATAGGAGAAACATACATGCATGGAGCTTAAAATATATATATTTTTCTATGTAGTATAGAGCTTACACTACTACAATTTGGCCTATTTGCGACGATTTTTGTCGGCGCAAATAAGTGATATTTGTAGCGACATGTCGTCGCAAATAATTTCATAAAACTGAAAAAATAATGCCGTCGCAAAAATGTCACATGTCGTCGCACAAAATTGCTAGCGCCAGATCTCGTATGGCACAAACTTTTAGCGCCAAAAAATACTTTTTGTGATGACATGTCATCGCAAATCGTCTATTATTTACGATGCAAATAGTCTCGCACAAATAAAATTTAATATATATTTTTTCCGAGCAAAAAGGATTATTTTGACGGGTGGTAAATTTTTTTTGCGACGACATTAATGTGTGTCGTCCCAAAAAGTGATTTGTAATCCCTCAGTAAAATAAAAGGCGGGAAAATTGGGTGGGGTCCCCAAAAATTATTTGCGACGACACTATAGATTTCGTCGTAAATAATAATTCCAGAACCTTCCTTCTAAATCCTAAATAATTTAGTTATATTTGCGACAACATGTGTCATCGTAAATAATTTCCATGTGGTCACAAATAATTTTAAGTTATATTTGCGACGACCAGTCGTCGCAAATAGTCTTTGTGTCATCGTAAAAAAGTTTGTTATATACCCACGAGTAGAGCCTCCTCCTCCATTTTTTCTGATCAGTCTCTCTCTCTCTCTCTCTCTCACTCAGCCTCTCACTGATTTTTTAAGGTTTTCTTACCCCAAACTCTCAAAATCTCTTTGTATTCTCTTCAAAATCAACAATATTGTATGTTTTATTTGTTTTTTCATCCAAAAAATCCCAAAATCAAAATTTCTGCCACGCCTGCCGAAATCTGTCACCGCCACCGAAGTCTGTTGTTGTCGCCCTTTGTCCCTGTTAATCTTGCAGTTTTCAGCCCCCGTTTCAGTGGGTTTGAATTTTGTAAGTTTTTTTGGTCCGAATTATTGTATTTGTTAGTTTAAAATTTATGAGTTTTTTGTTATTTGAATTGTATATAATTATAGATTATAAATCGTCAAATTTGATTTATAGATTTTAGAATTTTAGAATTAGTATATAATTTGAAATTTGGATTATAGATTAAATTTTAGATTATGAATTTTGAGATTGTTGAAATTTGATATTGAGATTGTTGAAATTTTAAGATTATAATTTGATTTAGGTTGAGATTCAAAGTTTTAATAATTGTTCTGGGTGGCACATCTTGCAGTTATGGTGTGCCGAAATCTTTTAAAAACTGTTTTTTACAGGTTTGAATTTTTAGATAATAAGAAAAATATGTCGTTATAATGTCAAAATTTTATTAAAATCTATAGTTTTAAGAATTTAATTAATAAGAATTAGTTATATTAATAGAAAGAAAATTAAAAATTAATTATAAACATTATGAGTGCAACAATAAAAAAATAACTTGTTCATAAAATTTGATAAAACTTATAAAATTGAAGCATGAAAACTTTATTTATAAACGTGATTATATAGTCACAAGAAAACATGAAGTATGATTAGATGTGTTATTATTTTTATAGTCAAGATGCCAATTGACAAGAGTTGGATAGATCTGAAAAACCGGTTGTCTGATCAGTATTGGGAAGGGTTGTCTGGGTTTATCAATATTGTCAAAGATTATGTCGATAAAAGCAGTTGTACAAGTTGTCCATGTCGGAGGTGTTTAAACCATAAATGTTTTCCAGTAGAAACAGTTAGAGCACACATACACCAATATGGTTTCAATCCTTTATATATGACGTGGTATTACCATGGTGAAGACAATGTCGTGACCAATCCGAAAAATGAATCAGTTGACGAGATGGTTACACTTACACATGATGTTGTTAGAAATAACTCTGATCATGATATGCCGGAGGAAGTATAAGCTGAAGTGTTAGGTGATGCGCAACACGATGAATTTAAAGAGTTGTTATCTGAGCTCGAATCGACATTGTATCCAGGGTGTACTAACTATTCCTCATTGAATTTTTTGGTGAAACTCGTGCATTTAAAGGTGTTGCACAAATAGTCCAATGAGTGTATGAACTCTCTTTTGAAGCCGTTGAAAGATGCATTTCCTGAAGGATTTAAACTTTCAGATTCGTATTATGAGGCGAAGACGAAATTAGGTAAACTCGGTTTGGGCTACAAAACAATACATGTCTGTAAGTATGATTGCGCGTTATTCTGGAAGGAGAATGTTGATTTGCAGGTTTGTCTAGTATGTAACACCAGTCATTGGAAGGGTAAAAAAATAAAAGGTAAAAAAGTGCCTCAGAAAGTATAACAATATTTTCCTTTGAAGGATCGATTGAGGCGTATGTATAGCTCGCGTCACACTGCAAAGGAAATGACGTGTCACATGCGGGGGCGTTCAAAGGATCCAGACTTAATACGTCATCCAATTGATGGTAGGGAGTGGAGAGATTTAGATATAAAGTATCATGAATTCACTCGTGAACCAAGAAACGTCGATTGGGTTTAGCTACTGATGGTTTTAATCTTTTCGGAAGCATAAGCTTATCATATAGTATATGGCCGGTGATTCTTATTGCTTACAATTTACCACCTTGGTTATGCACTAAGGATTCATACAAGATGTTGACACTGTTGATTCCCGGCCGAAATGCCCCTGGAAAAGATATTGATGTATTTTTGCGACCACTTGTTGAGGAACTTAAAGAGCTATGAGAAGAGGGAATCATTGTTCTTGACCCTGCTTCAAATGCATCGTTCAAGATGCGTGCTGCATTGCTAATGACTATCAATGATTATCCTGGACGTGCTAGTTTGTCTAGCTAGAGTGGACAGAGGTATCGTCATGTAATGATGTGACACGATCAAAGAGGTTGATGTGTAAAAACTGTTTTGTTGGGCATCGACGGTGGCTTCCTATTGGGCATAGAATGAGAAATAGTAGGAATTTTGATGGTAAGGTTGATCATCGTGCTTCTCCACCTCGGAAGTCTGTTGAAGAAATACTATTTCAATTACAGAATGTCGGATCCAGACTGTGTCACGACCCCAAGGATAGGGCTGTGATTATTGGAATTGAATTTAAAATTTAACTTAATTAAACTGGACTATTTAACAAAAATCACAAAAATAAATACATAAATATCACTATAGTTTGCTCCGGAGACTTTCTTTCACAAATAATATTTAAAATAATCCATAAAGTCCAAGAAAAATAGTACAACTCTGGGACAATGTCGACCAATACAGTTTACATACAGAAATACAGTACATCTCATAATTTAAAACTGTAAATCCGAAACAAACGTACCGCTTTGAATCTCACACCTTCAATTCATTGGCATCCACTTGTCACGCAGTAGATTTAAACCGCTAACTCTGGAGGAGGGGTTTAAAACATTGAAAACATAGAAACGTGAGCGGAATGCCCAGTAGGACATAATCTTATAAAACATAACAGATAAGGTACTCACGGTCCGCAGACATGCACCCGGAACCGATCATCCTTTTTTTTGAAAAGGAAATACTCATATAGTAGTAGAAAATATATGTAATATGAAAGTGTGCAGATTATCATACCATTAAGCAAGGAGTGGTAAAATGTCTGTCTAGTGAAAAAGTGCAGAGCCATAACTCCACTGAGCAAGAAGCGGATCCGTACGGGTTTCGGGACCTGCTCCCAAGGATATGATTCTCATATCCCGATCTCTGTGGCCACCATGCATTGTATCATTCCTTAAAATATTTCATTTTAATAAATGATACTCTTTAAAATCTCATTTCTAAAACCATTGGAAAACTTAATAGCATTATTCATGCTATTTCCTTTGAAATCATTTTCTTTTAACATGTTTTGTTCTAAAACATTTTCATTGGCCAAAATCATTTAAAATGAGGCTAACAATGATATGGACAAGAATATCCTACCTCTCGGATGTCAAACCTGGGCTAGCCTTCCATTCTTCTAGCCTCTGTTTTCCTTAAACCTTTAATACTCAACCTTCTCCACTAGCTTTATCACAAAAGTAATATCTTAGGAAGTATTTCTCATTCCTAAAAGGACTTAAAGCTCAATCATGTTTAATTGTTTCCTATTAGTGTGCATTGACTCAAATCCAAGTTTCACAAACGAGTTTATAATCAGTTTGAGTGTTCTCTAAGGATTGAAATCTAATCCATGGGTTTGGTTTCCTATTTAATTCCAGTTTAAAAACAAGTTTTTAAAGAAATTTCGGCAGCATGCCGGCATAAATAGGAAAAATGCCAAACTTGTAATTCAAGTTCAATTTCAAAATAAATTATCCAGAATCCATCAAAATCAGTTTCCAATCAATTAAACAAGTCCAATAACTGAAAACCCCCAAATTTCATTCAATTCTAACAATAATTTTTCAAATCCAAACCTTAACTCAAAATTATTCAAATCTAACAAAAACCAAACTGTAATGACTGAGAAAATCCTAGACTTTAAATTATACAATTTATTTATTTAAGCTAAGGATTTTTTTAGAAAATATTATGTGACTGAAGAATTTATGGAATTAATATCTGTATTCCTAAATTCTATAGTAGATTTCATGTTAAGTTCATGTTTTCGATCAAGAAAATTCGATCGTTAAATTCTCGCCGTACTTTAAGGCGGAATGATTTTCAGTACAGGTATAGTTTTAGAATCTTAATTTCAAGAATCTCCAAACACAGCATGATGTTAGCCGCGTATAAAAAAAACACACTAACTTTTTAAAAGAAGAGAAAATCCTTAATTGCCAGACAGCTAGGTTAAGGTCATAAGATAAATACCTATAGTAGAAGGGTACAACGTGAGCTCGGGAGTTGACACCGTCAGAAACAATGTCATTCTCGGGATATAATGTAGAAAAGTTAAATTTAGAATTTGTTCAGTCTAGAATTAATTTCAAGAATTGAAACAGTTCAAGATATATGTGAGTAAGAATTTAATGTGATCTCAAAGCAGTTGGGGATTTAACATTGAACTGTAAATATGCAGTAGAAAAAGGAACCGTCAGAAACTAGAATTTCCTATCGGCTAAGTACTTCCTTACAATCAGTATGATTCTTATCTGATTCAAAGGAAACTTAAGAGATGAGACAAAAAGTACAAGAGGTAGGTTAGGATTTGGTAGGATGACATGTGATTTGATGGGGGTAAGTGAAGATAAATCATGACATATGTGATTTGGTGGGAGTTAGTGAAGAGAAATCATGACCTATGTGATAAAAATTCCTCCTCTCCTTTTCCCCACACTAGAACCGGCCAAGCTTAGGAAATGGGAGCCCAAATTGGCTAGTGGAATGTGCTAGAAGATTTCATGGTAAGGTGATGTGATAGTAGTGGGTGAAGGGGAAATCATGGCATAAATTGCTTCTCATTTTCTCCATCCATAACTAGCCATGCACAAGGAAATTGGAGCCAAACTTTGACTAGTTGAGTATGCTAGAAGGTTACATGTTAATGTGATGTGATGGGGTTAGGTTTCATTTTTCTCTCTCCTCCCCTCACTTGGCCGGCCAAACTATAGGAATTAGAGCCAAAAACTTAGCTAGTTGAGTGTGCAAGTGGATGACATGGTAAGGTGATGGGATAGAAGTGGTTGAAGGGGTAAATCATGGCAAAATTATTCTTCTTTTCTCCATCCACAACCGGCCAAAATTGGGGGA